TCAGGAGGTGAAAAAAACCCTGCAATGAATGCAGTGGGTCAGAAAAAGTGATAAATGAACAAGTTCCTCAAGGCTTCAAGAAGGATATTGAAAATCCCACTTCAAGCTGGAATGGCACATCTGTACATAGCTGATGAGGAAGAACTTTCATTCTGAAATGCTTAACTGAGAACTTGACAGTATTCGTACTGATCTGTTTTAAAGCAATCAGGGTATTAGTCCCCAAATTAAAGTATTTCTCATTTGGGGAACTGCAAACACCCCTCAAACTGGTCAAGTGTGCAGCACACTTCAGCCTTAAAAAAAAAGCAAAAAAAACCCAAACTGATGGGGGGGCAGAGGATGGGGATACAGTTTTTACATAGATATAAAGTACACTTAGCTCTAGGGGTGTTTCAATTTCCAAAACTGCAAAATGAGCATGCTCACACATTACTTCATATGTATGGGAGGTCACAAATCTCCTTCAAAATGAATTTGGCAAAGTTCCAGTTCCCTTTGATGGTGATTATATTAAAATATTTTTGTCACTTAAAATCAATCACCTTGACAACCAAGCCAAGAGAAGGAAGAGTAGCCTCCTTTTTTTCTGGGAACACCAAAAAATTACTTAAAATACTACCAGGTGGTTTGTTACCTTCAGTTAAAATTACTGCTATGTATCAGAACAGCAATGTCCAAACTAAGCTTGCTGTTATAAAGTTCACTGGACAAAGTTTTGCCAAAATCCCCAACTGGCAATGATCTGACCTTCATTTGGATGATATTCTCACAGTGTTTGCTAGTATTTGTAGGGCTGTGTCTCAACATGCCTTAGTCTCAACATGACAAATGAGAACTGCTGTTAGTATGAGAACTATACTAAAAGGCATCAGGTATAAGATACTAAAGGGAAAGTAACTACAACCCTCTTCTTTACCCCTGCAAAATCCTTGCTAGTTTTAACCCTGGAATCAAACCTGTCATTCTATGAAATGCAGAATGTATTTTTTTAAAATAGTGGGAACATTCAGTCTTTGAAAGTTGGGATCTACATGCACACTTCAAAAAACAGCGCACGCTTTAATGGCAGACTTCAGAATTTATACCTTCTACAATTCAACCTACCTTGTCTTCATAATTTGGGAGTTTATCTTTATCTATAGTTATTATATCCATCCACGAATAGTTCCTCTCTCTCCGAATCCTTGCTAGCTCTGGGTCAGTCTCATAGTTGTCAGCATCCAACTGAGGGGCAAAAGGAAAAGAAGAAAATGAAAATATAAACATCTATAAGAGACAGCCTATGATCTGCACAAAGCCACCTTCAAAACCAAATACCCTAATTTGTAGGCCCAGTTACTGCCTTGGCAAATGAGTCCCAGCTATGAGGTGGAGGCAGGCCCTGATTGGAGAAAAGGTCCAGCTGGAGCCCTTAGAAAGCCCTGGGAACTGAAGCATGGTGGGGATCAGATGTCAGAGAATGCAGTGATGGATGGGTGAGGTGTAGCTGAGTTGTTCGTGTTTGGTTGCATTCATTCAAAATGGACTGCTAGATATCCCTGGTGCAAAGCCTGGTGTTTTCACCTACAAGCCTGGGTGCAAATGAGATTTTGACTTGACACTGAGTGACTGCAGATCCCTTATGAGGGTCTGAGATTCTATGAAGTATATACAAAAGGAGGTTTGAGGTGGGAGTGTAGGGGCTGGAGAAGCACCCGTTCAGGCCTCTCTGGCCTCACAGCTGATCCAGAGAGCTCAGCTGTAGAAGAAACTGGTGGTGTCAGTTGCTTTTCCCTTTGAAGGTTAGACTGCTCAGTCATGGCAGGTGAGACTGGCTGATGAATGCAACACTAACTGTGAGAGGGGAAAAATATACTGTGGCCGCCCTGTTATGGGTCACAGGCATAGGATGGAGCGACGAACTGAAGAAGTAAACAGAAGACTGCGGCTTTGGTGCCATTGCAAAGGCTTCGGCTTCTTCGACCACAGTCTGCACTTCAGAGAGGGAGGCAGCAGTTTGTTGTGAAGGGACGGCCTCCACCTCACTCCAATGCGGAAGAAGCTCTTCTCGGCCAGAATGGCTCACCTGCTTGACTGGGCTTTAAACTAAGTTTGCCGGGGGAATGGGCAGACAACCACCAGTGCAAGCCCACCAAGCGACGGTCACAAAATCAGCAGGTCAGGCTGCACAAGGGAATTCACTCCTACCCCAGCCCGGGGACAGGACACTTCTAGGAGTGCACGGAAGCCAAGGGGTTCCAATGGCAGGCTTACTTGCCTGTACACAAATGCCAGGAGCCTGGGGAACAAACAGGAGGAACTGGCTCTTCTGCTAAACAAAAATGAATACAATCTCATAGGGATAACGGACACCTGGTGGGACTCCACCTATGACTGGACCACAGGTATAGATGGCTATACCTTGTACAGGAGGGATCATTTTGCAAGAAAGGGCTGGGGTGTAGTTCTCCATGTGAAGGAGCTATACACTTCCCTACAACCAGAGATGGGCACCCAAGGAGGGTGACCTGAGACCCTCTGGGTTAGAATACGGGGGGAACGTGGTGAAGGAGATATAATGGTAGGACTCTACTACAGACCTCCTCATCAGGAGGAAGAGCTTGACCATGAATTTGCTAGGGAACTGGCAGAGGCTGCACACTCTTTGTGCATGGTTGTCATGGGCAATTTCAACTACCCTGGCATCTAATGGGAAGAGCGCTCAGCCAAATCCGATCGGTTGCAAAGCTTCCTCACTTACATTGATGAGCTCTACTTGTTTTAAGAAGTCTATGAGCTGACAAGAGATAAGGCGCTGCTGGACCTGGTACTGGCCAGAGGGGATGATCTAGTGAGCAACTTGAGAATCAAAGGGAAGTTGGGAGACCGTGACCATGAGTTGATCACTTTCTCTATCCATCACAAAGCTAGCAAATCTGTCAGCAATGCAGAAATTCTCGACTTTAGGAAAGCTGACTTTCACAAGATCATGGGGCTAGTTGTCAAGGCCCTGAGAGGCCATGATCTGACAGGGAGGGGAATCCACAATGAGTGGTTGCTTTTTAAGAACGCAATTCTTGGAGCACAAGGGAAGTCCATCCCAGCCCATAGGAAACAGAGCAAAAGGGCTGGGCAACCCCCTTGGTTCAACAGGGAACTGATGGACCTCCTGCACCTGAAAAGAGAAGTGTATAAAGGATGGAAGGCAGGAAACACCACTAAAGAGGAGTATTCAGCACTGGCCCACACTGGTAGGGAGTGAACTATGAAAGCCAAGGCTGAAATTGAACTCAGACTGTATACAGGAATCGAGAACAACAAAGAGTCCTTCTTCAGTTATGTGGGTAGTCAGATAAAACAAGGGCAACACTGGACCCTTGTTAAACCAAATGAGGCAGCTGACAATCGACACGCAGGAAAAAGCTAATCTCCTTAATGATTACTTTGTCAGTCTTAAGGGGATCACCTTGCTTGACAAGATGCAGGATTACCACCATAAGGGCAAACACATGCCCATCATTGGCAAAGATCTTGTGAGGGAACACCTTGAGAGGCTGGACATCCACAAGTCAGCTGGCCCAGATGGAATGCACCCAAGAGTGCAAAGGAACTGGCTGACATCACCGCATGGCCAATGGCAAGGATATTTGAGAACTCATGGTGCTCAGGAGATGTTCCTGAAGATTTGAAAGAGGACCAATGTGGTGCCTATCTTCAAGGAAGGAAGGAAAGAAGACCCAGGGAACTACAGGCCAATCAATTTGACCTCAATCCCTAAAAAGATCCTGGAAAAAATCATCAAGGAAACCAGCTAACAGAAGAAACAGTCTGTGAGATAGATAGCCAACATGAATTTGTTGCCGGTAGGTCTTGCCCGACGAACCTCATTTTCTTCTATGACCAGGTGACACGTCACCTAGACAAAGGAGAAGAGGTTGATGTCATATATTTGAATTTCAAAAAAGCCTTTGACCTGGTGCCACATGTCCTCATAGTAAAATTGGGAAACTGCGGCCTCAACTACTCCACAGTCTGATGGCTGGGGACCTGGCTCCGAGGTCGGATCCAGAGTGTGATAGTCAATTGAATAGAATCAACATGGTGGATGATGACCAGTGGCATCCCCCAGGGCTGCATACACAGACCTGTACTCTTTATTATATATATAAATGATCTGGACTCTGGTGGCAGAAGTGGACTGGCTAAGTTTGCTGATGACACCAAATTATAGGGAAGTATGGTCACACTAGAAGATAGGCTAGCAATTCAGGCCAACCTCGACAGACTCGCGAGGTGGGCAAATCAAAACTTGATGGCATTCAACACCAAGAAATGCAAGGTGTTCCACCTCAGGAGAAAAAACCCACATCGTACTTATGGGTTTGGCAGTGCTACGCTCGCTAGCACCACAACTGAAAGAGACTTGGAGATCATTCAGGGATCCTGGTTTTCTGTGATAAAAAATTGCAAATTCTCTGATAAAAATCCCAAAATCTGTGGTTAAAATTAAATGCCCCCCACAGCCCTGCTGCTGTCCCTCACTTCCCCCCCCCCCAGCCATTTGATCCCAGGTGACTTCCTGCCCCTTGGGCAGGGGGCTGGACCCCATGATCTCATGCAGCCCCTTACAATCTATGACTTCTGTTCTAAAAAAAATGCTGGGTGCTGCTTTAGCTCTGCTGGCTGGGAGGAGCCAACCCCCCAGATGGGAGTCAGGCAGGGAGGAGGTAGTCACCACCCAGGCAGCTCCTAGCCTGGACACCACATGCACCAGCAAATCCCACTTCCCTCCCTGCGGAGAAGCATTCAGGTGGGCGGGAGCATCTTCCAGACATCCTGAGCCCCTTCCAGTGAGGCTGAAGGAGGCACCTGGAAAAGGGGGTCACTGCTGCCCAAGGCAGGCACGCAGGACTGTGCCCTTGTGGGTCCTAGCTCGGGCTGTTTAGCTGACCCTCACTGCTCACGCCGGGGGGCCGTTTCACCGAGCAGCGCCCACGGGCTCCTCGGCCTCAGCCGGGCGGCAGCGGGCACCGGCCAGTCACTTGCGGCTCGGTGGCTGAGGCCGTGCAGTGGAGGGCCCGGCGCAGAGCGAGGCGGGAGAGGCCGGGTCCTCGCCTACTTTCCAGTGGAGGACGCCGAGGCGGCGCAGCTGCTCCAGGCCGACGGGCCGGGGGGGCTCGCACTGGTGGGGCTTCCGGGGGTGCACAGCCCCCTCATCCATGTACCAGGCCTGCACCATGTTGGTGCTGCGGCCGGGAGGGGCCTGGGCCGAGAACTGTTCCGGGTGGCAGCGCGCGGCCTTCCGGCCACGTGCTGCAGAGCCCGCCCCTCGGGGTTGCCCCGCGTTGGGGAGAGCGGCCAGCCGCGGGCGGGGGCGCGGGCTCTACGTGCGCCCCGGCCTCGGCCTGTCCAGTGCAAGCGGGGAGCTGCCTGGGCTGGGGGCAGGGAAACCCCCGCCGCAACATCTTCCCGGGCTGACCGCGCCCAGCTTGGCCAGGCCTGTCTGCTGTGCCCCAGCGCCCGCCCAGGACGCTGTAAGCCCCCTTGAATAAGGGAGACCTATGGGCACAGCCATCAGCTGTTTGCTTGGGACACCTGAAAAAAAGAAAACAGGGAGTGGAGGGAGACAGCTCCACACTCACCCAGTTGCCCCGCATCAGAGCCTCCTTCCTGGCTCTGTAGATGTCCAGCATGGCCAAAGCCAGGGGGAGGTAGACAGGAGGTCCCAGGGCTTGACGGGACAGCATCTCCCCTTCATGGATTGCATAGACGTTAGGGCTGGAAGGGACCTCGGGAGATCATCGAGTCCAGCCCAAAGGGCAGGGAGTCAGCTCGGGTCAAAGGATCCCAGCAAGATAAGCATCCAAATGTCTCTGAAAGGAGTCCAGAGTAGGAGCTTGAACTGCCTCCTGTGGCAGTATGTTCCAAGCCTCGGGGGCTCGGACAGTAAAGAAGTTCTTCCTTATGTCCAGCCTGAAATGGTCTTGGAAGAGTTTGTGACCATTCGACCTGGTCGTCCCTTGGGGCGCTGTGGTGAACAGAACACCAGCAGCCCCACCCGTCCCTCATGGTGGGCTGCGTGGCCAGGCCACAGTGGCCATGAGGACTGCTGGCTCCCACTGGGAAGCCAGCATTTTATTTCGGTAAGGTTTTTTTGGTGGGGGGAGGGTTGGTACATTTCACAGACAACGCCCAATTCCACAATTCCTGTGAAACTGCAATTTGAGTAGGTCCCTATCTGTGATCCCTTTCTAACAGCCCCACGCAAATGTCTGTTAACCAGCATTAAAAAAAAGAGGCTAGCTTCAGCCCAGGTCATGTGCTGGAATTTTAATGGTTTTAAGACTTCCTATGCTTGAAAAAGAGCAATTACGCCCAAAAGCTTGCCAAGAACTTTTTCCCAGCTACTCAGTTGGTCTAATAAAAGATACTGCATCTACTCAAAGAACCTTGCCTGCCAATGTAAACATGAGATTTTCCATGGACAATAATTTTGACCAGAATCCAGATTAGGCCAAGACCCAGCACTTTCTGACTTAAATTCATGATCCAGCTGTTATTATAGAGACAGAACAGTCCCCAGCACCACACTGCAATGCCAGATGTGTTCTAAAAGCACTGCTCAAACATGGCTGGAACACAGCTACACTGAGTAAAAAAAAATTTCTGGCTTCTGTAAGCAGGAAAAAGCCAAAACAAAACATTACAATGCCTGTTTTTACTCTATAAACTGTTACTCTCCAACATGGCTATGACATACTTTGTTAAAGGTATTGCGAAACAGGGAAATCCACACAACTTGAGAACCTTGTGGGCAGGTTTGAGCTCTCTAACCAAGCTGCTAACTCCACTTTGGATATGCAGCCTTTCACCTTCTCTTTTGTCTCTTTATATGGTGGCATGAAATTATAAAGGGTGGTATTTAATAATAAGTAATAGGTAAGTGCTAACCCACCAAAATACTATCACCTTAGACAATAAGGGAGCTCCAGTTGAAAAGAAAGATGGCTCAGGTGAAAGTCAACTTGGCAATGCCTGGCAGGGGACCAAAGGACCAAACAATGTCACAAACAAGTAGGAGCTGAGTGGTTTGGGGTCTCTTTCTAGCTATGTTCAGCATGTGATGCTGAAGGGGATTGTCTGCTGTCTAAACCTGCTGGCTTCCTAAACACAGATGGAGCCCCAGACACCCTACAGCAGGGGTGAGCAAAATACAGGCCGTGAGTTTCTTGTTTAAAGCAAAAATATAGGCAAGACCTTTATTGCTGAGGAGGTTTATTACACTAATTCTTCGTGATTACAAGATCTCCATTTCACAGCTGGGAAAGTTGAGGCACAGAGAACTGTTTGTCCAGCATTACAGAGCAAGTCTGTGGCAGGGCTAGGAATAGAAACTAGTGAATACAGATAAAGAAACACTGGGCGTGCCTACACAAGAGGCCACTGCGCAGTAAGTAACCAGAGTTCATGCACAGCAGCGCAAGTGAATGTTTTTTAAGTGATGCTACTGCACAGTAGTCTAATAATACTGTAGTGTATTACCACTGTCCGTGCTGTGACACACTACTGCACAGTGTTATTCGACTATTGCACAGTCAGCATCTTGTGCAGATGCGCCCACTGTTATCTGGTCCAGACTTGAAGAAAGCAAGAAATATTCAAATTAGAAAAATCACTTTATTAATACTCTGTTCAAGAGTGAATCACTGCAATGCACTGTTACAAAGTCACAGGTCTATGTATCAGGGTAGGACTAGGAAAATTGCTTGTAATGGTCCAGATTTGCTCATTCATCTTACACAGATTCTCAGAGAAAATGAAATGCTTCTCCCCTTACAGTAAGTCTGGGGCTCCTAATTGACACCTGCAGTAGACATGGGTATGTTCGACTATCTGCTGATGAGCTGGATCTGGATTGCTGACAGAAATCCAAGGTTCAGATTCAGTGAATCAGTATTCTTCACATTTCTGCTGTAATATAGTTTGATGATAAACTGCAAATCCTAATACATTTAGTCACTACTCTAGAATATAATATTTTTTACACTTGTTTGGTAAAACAGTTTTATTGGAATGTAAGATATAAAGTTATACACAAACATTTTCATCTGGTATAAACTGGTGATATATGCCAGCAGGAAGCATTATCACGTCTCCGTTCTCCAAGAAAATCCAGATCCATCGGTCATCTTAATCTTGAATGTCAAAGTAGCCACTTCCATTGAGGATGTATTGATCTTGATCAGGTGTTCTTTGTAAAATATTTTTATCTAGGTTAGAAAGAAAGAAGTTTCTTTTTTAAAATTCGTTGCAAGCAGAAATAAGTCTAAGTCTGACAGTTCTACCACTGCCTGAGAGTTTTCAAAGGCGTCCAGGAAGATACAAAACACTTTTAAAAAGTGTTATTGGTATTATTATAATGCACAAAACTATGTTAACTGAACAGAAAGACCAAGCCAGGTTTAGCAGGAAAGCATCCATCAAGAGCTGGATATTTATCTTGGATGCACACAGAAAAGATATACTAGGGAAAAGGGGGAAAGGAGCTGGCCAGCGCCGGGGGCAGCACGGGTTGCCTCCCGAGGCCGCTGAGGGCAGCACGGCCTGGCAGGGTCCCGGCCCAGGGTGCAGGAAGCCCGGGGAGGCTGCAGGACCTTCCGGAGCAAAAAAGCGTCTGTGCCTCCTGGCGCTCCCTCCCGCCAGTCCCGGGGCCGGGGAGCGAGCTGCCGCCGGGCCCCTGCGGGGCTGGCGCCGGAGCCTCCCCCGGGGCGCAGCCGGGCAGTTGCCG